ATCCTGTAAAACATAGAATATTTTCTTATTAGTGCTCTCCAGCACTGTGATGTCTTATCCAGGGCTGAGTTAGTGTTAAATGTCTTCTCTGCTCTACAGATCCCATCTCCAAGGTCCTGTCAACCTAAAGGAGCCAAAGAAGAGGCACTGCGGTATGAAATAGAAGAGCTGAAACAGAAGGACCTTGTTCTAGACCAGGAAATTGCACAATTACTGTCCGAGTATGTCCTTGGCAAGCTCAGTGGTCACTGGGGTGCCTCAATTATTTCTGGTTTTAAAGCAAAACACAGTCCAGGAATTAGAGCTACAAGCTGACCTCTTACAACACAGTTTCTGTCATAGTGCTGTGCAGTGTTGATGGCAGTGTTGTTTCGAGTTATGGGATATGTTAAAGACAAGAGGGAATCATCTCTGGTTTATTTGGTAAAGCAAAACGGGTTTTACTAGGAGTTTGGATAAGAGGATCTTAACTTTATGCCAGTTGTTGCTGAAGTAATTACATATAAACTGGGAACAAATAATTTAAACTATCATGCTACTCCACCATGTCATGCTACCAGAAGAGCTTTTTTGTGGGGGAATTCAAAATTGAGATCGTGGCTTGTCCCAGATAAAACTTTTCCTTTTTTGTTCCATCTTGATCAAATGTTCACTTGATTTGTGTCTGAGCTAAGTGGGTTAAATCTTTGTGTTCAAGAAGCCAGAGGTGTTTTCCAGGCAAGCAAGTGGCCTGTCCAACACTTTGGTGTGACAGGTGTGTGCCACATGCAGGGTAGTGCATGTGGTTTCTTATGACACGCTATGGCAGCTGCTTATTAGCAGCTGTTTTGAGATTAAATTGCTGCTTGGTTTTTAAAGGGAGGGATTTCTGTGGGTTATTCATTGTGGATTTGGGTGGATTCGTTTTTCTGGATGAGTTTTGATGTGGCAAAGTAATCTCAAAATAAGCATCTGCTCATTGTGTAGCTTTTGTGTTTACGACTTGCAGAAACTGCACTTGTTGCCTTCAGATTCTGCTTCTGATGTGCCAGGTTTGGGCATCTCAGATATCCCTGCTGTGCCTGATCAGCAGCAGCAACGCTCGTTGTGCAGCAACAATCGCTCGGTGTCATTTTTGACCTGCCTGGGTTTATTCTTACAGAGGCTACAGCCTGGAGGAATTGGAGAAGCACATCTCTCTGCTCCATGAGTATAACGATATTAAAGATGCTGGACAGATGCTGCTGGGCAAGCTGGGTAAGGAAGGGGAAAGCTGTTGAACTCCTTAGTTGATGTTTTCATGTAGACAGAGAGAGAGAAGCTACTACCCCAGGAAGGCAGAGCTAGTTTTAAAGATTTTTTTTATTCTAGGCTTATGTTAGCCAATGACCTGTGCATGCATAAATGCTCTCTTGTTATTTTCTTGGGATGTTTTTATAACTGAGTATGTGAAATAATTGTTGTCTACTGATACTTTAGTCTGTGTAATGGATTACCAAAATTAGATAAACTTACTGATTTTTGCCAGTTGTGTTCTTCATGTGCTTAAAAAAAAAGTGTTGAGGCAAGTGGGGAGCACAGCTGCAAAACTTTAGATTGATTTCTTGGCTGTGAGAGGTTCTGTGGGATAGTCAGGGGCTACAGGGAGGAAAACACAACTTTTCTGATGGATCTGATCTTTATTTACTGAAAACAATGGCATTTCTTTTCTAGCTGTTATCCGAGGGGTTACTACAAAGCAGCTCTACCCTGAATATGATCTGGAGCTCAGCGACTAGGGGTGAACCTGAAGACTGCAACGTCCTGCAGAAATGACTGTTACCAGGCCGTTATGTTTGGTGTCCTGTTGGTTTGGAACTGAAATAAGGTGGCCTCAGAAGTACGTACGGAGGATTGCACCAGAGTATGGGTTAACAGCCTTATTTCTAGGACGCTTTGGAACATGAAATTTGTTGACTGTATCGTTTCCTGCTTGTGGGAAAGGGATGTGGGATTTTGGATAATTTCAATTACTACCCCAGCAACAGTATTTTTAGGTTTTTATTGGGAAGGTTGTAACTCAGGTTGATGTTAAGACTCTTTCCGTGGAGCCTTCGCTTCTCTACAGCATCCAGGGGCTATTTGGATGCTGAGTGGATAGAGGAAGTGAGGGCCTACAAATGTGCAATGTAGTAGCTGCTTTGAAAGGAAGGAAAAAACCCTCAGAAGTAGGGAGCGAAAAAGTCTGAAGTTGTGGTTGTTTGGGGGGTTTGTTTTATGATCAAATCTGGATAACTCTGGGTGTTCTGCATTCTTCTATTTAAGTGCTCTGGTATCTAGAGGTTTTGTATCATTTCTGTAGTAAATGGTAGAATGTGAAGCTGTGTTGAACTATCCAATCTGAATAAAGCAGGTATCACATTTCTTAGTAATTCACTCAAAGAGCTTACAAAACGTTGCATGAACCTGGGAACAAATTCTTAAAGTATGTTCTGAGACTATTGTAACATCTATTATTCAAATGTTTTCTGAGGACTTTCAGTGGAGACAATGTGGCAGCACTACCCGGAAATGGGCAGGTGCAGAATTACCTTTACTTTCTCCTAAATGCAGAGTCACTGTGAAAGTGAATGGTGTCCTAAACACAAAATTATCTCGAGAGCACGAGCGTTTCAGTGTCAGGTATTAGGACTGAGGGTGACTGCACAGACTAAATTTGGCAGCTTTGGGCAGGTCTAAATGATTAAGTGCTCTGCTGACTGCAGGTCCTTTGTCCTTTTTTCAGTCAAGCTTGGTGTCCTTCTGCACCTTTATACTTCGAAGACCTTGGCAGTAAGTTTCCCCCCTGGTCTCCAGTCAGATCCATGCTGCAGTCTGCTCATTATTTCCAAATTAATTCGTCTTCGTACTGCTCAGAAACCAGAGAACGGTCACAAGGCTGCTGTTGGGAACACACAGTTGTTTCTGCACTCTTGGTTCTGGACCTGGCACAGAAGCATCACTAATAAGTATCTTGTTTGGCCACAAAAGCTGTGGGGAGGGGTCAAAGCAGGGGGACGGATAAAGCCTGTGTATTCTGTGATTTGTTCAAGCAAGTCTCTGCCCAGCTGCAGCTGTTGCTCTGGAGCGTATTCGCTGTGGCCATGTAAGGATGAGCGTGGGTATGGTTACAGGTATATCCTCCCCACCATAAACCCCTCCTGCCCAGTGTGGGTAACTCCTGGGTTTTGGAGTGGGTTTAAGAGGAGGGAAAAACTCTTAAGAAGGCTAGAACTGAGAAATGCTTTCATTGCTGTTTTGGCTGCTATCTTCTGTGTGGAACAACTGGTTTCACCTGGAGCATTCCAACTCAAAACATAGTCTGGCAGTGGCCTGCCCAGCTAGAGATGGTGTTTGCAATGGGAAGGTATGGACAGAAATTCCTTCAGTTTGGGGTAAGCCACGGGGGAGGAAATACCCTCCATTACCAAAGTTACTGGAAGTTATTTAAGGACGGAGAAGCCCATCTTTTCTTCCCCTCCTTGCAGGAGCACTAGGATTAAAACTTGCAGTTGTAGCTTCTGCCGTGACGGGTTTACGCTTCGGTTACAGAGGACGGCTGCCTGTGGGTTACGTTTTAGTTAGGAAGGACAGCTGCCCGCAGGAGGTGCCCTGACGCCAGCCCCTCATCCACGGAGGACAAATGTGCGCAGAACCGACCAGCTGAGGTGAGAGCAAACCGCCCTTGGGCAGTCCCTGGGGCTCTGCAGCTGCACTGTGATGGGTTCTGCTGCTGCTCTGCACAGAACGGGGAAACCCAGAACAAGAGAAAGATTCTAGGGTCTCAGTTAATGACTCCTGGGTGCTTCAGGACAGGAGCGTGCTCTGCTGCGTCGGTACTTCATCATGGCCCCTCCTGGAGTTACTTCTTGTACCTTAATGGCTTTCATCTGGAGGATGAAATATGCTGGCTTTTGTCCAAGTCCAGAGGAGAAACAGAACAAATCATCTTCTGCTTTCTATAAATAAATCTTGCTAGCTAAGTGTATAGCTGGAAAAATGTGAAGTGCAGTAATGATTAAGTGTAACTTCGGATTTTTAAATTTAAATTTAGAAAGTGTATTTCTGCCAAGTCAGACCCAGGTACAAAGAGCTAACGGAGAACGAATGGTATTGCAGAGCTTATAGAGTTTCACTGGAGGGCAGTGCACTGCCTGTGTGGAGGTGCTGCGCAGCAGGGCACCACAAAACCCTAAACACCCTTAGTTCCTCAGGAAAAAGAAACTGAAAAACACCAGCATGCTTTTTTTTTTTAATGAGTCAGTGTACCCAAGGATGAGTTCTGAGCCAAGAACCAGCCTCTTCCCCTCTAGGTCACTTTCAGTTTTATTTCTGGCATAGCTTATGCACCAATCCCTAGTACAAACCACTTTTCTCCTCATACACACCTCCTCTGGATATAACCGTTTCCTTGCATTGCTTTGTGCAAGCTGTGTTTTCTCCTGCACATCCTTCCCCTGGTCTGATTTTGAGTTTTTATATCTCTGAGAGCAGGGCTGATGGAAAGAAAATACTCTAGGACAACTGAGAGAAAAGAAAATCCATACACTAGATAAGTTTTGCTGCCAGTTGCAAGGAACAAACAAATCCATGCAATCGAGGGAATACAGCTCTCTCAGATGCTATTTCCTACTGCTAAACAATGTGGTGATGGGTTTTTACATCCCTTAGCAACCTAATGTTCCCAAAGTCAACAGGAATCTCGGCACAGCTAACTCCTGTTAATGAACTGTTAGCAATGCTTGGGGGAAAAAAAAATTAGCCTGTCACTGAAAAGAAATGCTGCTCTGAAGACAGCTCCAGGAACTGGGTGGAAGAGAACTGCAATTAGCCTCTTTCCTTCGGCTGTCCCTCACGCCGTTAGCACGTAGCCATGTTACTGTGCCACAGAGATCGCTTGTGGATGTTCCCTCCATCGCGCGTGCGCTCAGCTCTCTGTGGCGTGGGCCATCTCCACGTCCATCGTGTGCGGAGGGCTGTTACCCTGATGCCCTAATGTTTTCTCTAACTCTGTTTTTACCTTAAGCTGACAGTCCCAAATCGCGTTCTGTATGCTCTGCAGGTTCCACTGCGTTCTCAGCAGAGCGTCATCCAGGGTGAAAACGCCGTCGCGTATTCTCCGCACCTGTGTGCACACGGCGGATGATTTCAGCTCCAAACCAATCTCGTGAACTATTTTTCGGAGGTACTGCTGAGTCTCATGCAAGCAATGGATTTCTAGAAGGACAGAGAGGTTCCTTCAGAAAAAGCAAAGTGTTGATGCAAACTCAGACCCTGTCTGTAAATCCAGACGTCGCTCACAGTTACGCTCAACTGGTTTGGTAGAAGAGCCCCTCGCAAAGTGAATGTTTTAAAAAACAAACTTGTAGATACAGGAGAATAACATAGAAATTCAGGTATTTAAAATCTGGTATGAAAAGGTACCTTTTCAATAAGAAAATTTGTGAGGAGACTGACTGCAGGAAAGCAAACCACACTTTTTAGAAAAAAAACCAACCCACGGCACAAACAAAACCCTGAACGTGACATTACACTCAAACATGGGGATAAGGAAGAATTCGTGCTCCAGTTACTCACTATATGCAAATATCTTTTTTTTTCAGGTTAAGATCTGTAACTGGCAAGGAAAAGCCTGTGAGCTAGCTTGATTTACAAAGCAGCTTTGGCATTGTGAGGGTTCCAGATCTTGCCCTACCAAAAAACCCTTCCCATTGCACTAAAGTGTTCATCTCACGAGGAGGTGCTTTTGTGACTCTGGAAGCTACAAAACATTAAATTTTCTACAGAGATTACCAGTTACACGTTGATACAGAGTTCCCACCTACTCATTTAGCAATAAATCATGAATAAGAAACCGAAGTTTTATTTGCCAAAATAAACAATCAGTACGTTTTGTACCAGTCCTACCTAGCTGGAACTCTGGAAGTGTGAGCTGGAGGCACCGGATCGCTGTGATTATTGGAGGGCTTTTTCCCATGGGGCGAATCAAACCTTTGACAGCCAGCTCATACGCCTCTTGCGTTTTCATGTCAATGTTAGAATGCCTGGAAAGTTAAAAAGGGAGCAGACACTCAGTATTTCTCTTCAATGGCATTCAAAATATCTCCACCTCCAATAAAACAGAGCTGCAATTTTCGTTCTTAAAACTGCCTGTATGTTGAGTTGTTGCCCATGTTTTAATGCTGATATGTGTACTGGTGGTAGCGTAGTGTAGTTTGGGAGGGAGGTACTTGATCACATCTACAAGACGTTTTTGTAGGTCCTGATGTAGCTGATCAGTCCTAAAACAGCTGGAGATTTCAGGATACAAGAACACTTAACTGCGACTTCTCACCAGAGCACTCAGAGTAACTTCTCTCTGTTCCTGTCTAACACTCCAGCCTTTAAAGACTTCGATTATGGCAAATTGAATTATCTCATTTGTATTAAAGACCAGCAAAGAGCAGTCAGATCCCATCAACCGCATTTCCCCATTGTGTACGTACATCAGCAAGGCCTTATGATGTGTTCCTTGAATGACAGCGACAATCCGTTCCAGCTTCTCCCTTGTGATGTGATCTGCAAATATTAAGGTACAAACAAAGTCTCAATTACCCATCCAGAAACTGGAAAGAGACAGCAGCCTGAAAGGTGCCACCAGGGTATTACTGTCCCTTTGGCAGGCAGGCACGTCAGAATGGGCTGACAGGAACCACCGAGAGGTGGCTTTGGGGGTGTCCCTTCTCCTGGCTGTACCGTGGGGATGCACGGATCAGCACAGCGCTGCACTGCAAAGGGAAGAATTATTGTGATTGATTGATTGATTGATTATTTCAGGGTGCTGGGTCCAGTTTCTCATACTGGATGTTTGAAGAGCTTTGGTCAATGAAAGCTTCTAACCACTACCTCTGAGTACGATGTATGGAGAGATCTGGGTCGCACCCAGGCCAGCAGCAGCAGCTACTGTGATCATGACCTCATGCTGGCTTTGTACATAGTGTGGTTGTGTTTAGATCAGGAGGACTATGTGTAAAAAATAACAGCCAGAAAGCATGGAAGGCGTACCTTTTATCACTGTGCAATTTACCTGGTTAAGTGCTTTACAGTTCGCATGCTGTTTGGTGTTCAGTTTTAGTTTTTTGTTTGTTTTTTTTAATTAAAAAAACAAACACATCAAGTCAGTTTCTTACCAAATGTTGTCTTCTCTACTAGCTTCCCTGTGTCTGAGAAGTCATCAGTCGCTTTACCAAACAGCCCACCAACAGTGTAAACCTTGAAGAAGGGCAAAGAGTGCAATTTATCAAAGAAATACTCCAAGCAATTGAGTAGCACTGTCCTATTAAGTGCAGGCTATGACAGTGTTGCACAAAGAGACAGCAGTATCCTCTGCTCCTACAGCCAGGTGTGGATATTCACATGAAGGAAGAAATTCTAGGAAGATCTCAAAAGCACTGGTGGGTTTGAGACTCAAAAGCAGAATCACCATCACAAGGCCGGTCTGGGACACCGGGGCAGGAATCGAGTGTGCGATTGCGCTTCGATCTGCTGAGGCCCTTCAGAGCCATCGCTTACCTTGGTCAGGTGGCAGTTGTACAGATCAGTGAGCAGCTTGTTCCCGTGGCCTATGCCAAGCACTGAAACACAGAAGACGGGGAACCCATTATTCAACCAAATGGAAATTTAATGATGTGCATTTGCACAGCACTGCGTGCTGACGCTGCTTTTCTTCCTCTGTGTCTCCTTAGGAGTCATGTCTGAGCAGTGCAATTAGACCTCCAAATTATTGCCTGTCATTAAAACTACAATAAGCCTGTAACGAGGGCTCTTGGATTTGCCCAGAACTTTCCACCTGGGTACTTCATGGCAAATGGGTGGTGATGCCAGCCACAGCGAAGCCAGTGCAAGCAGTGGAGCAGAGACGGGGTTTACGTGGTGGATCACCAACGGTGCCACAGGCAAAAGTTTGGTGTCTCACAGCAAAGCCCTGTGTGCTGGGGTAAGGGGTCACTCCCATCTCCTGGCGTTCCCAGGGTCTTGTTGGATCGTTTCTCCTATGTTTTAGCATTTATACTCCCAGCTGGGTTGTGAGACCTGGCAGGTACTACTCTGTAACGGCTGAGCATTCGCCGCTTCTTCCCCACAAGGAAACCCGTCACCTCACAGCCGGTGGCACCC